GGTACTCATGGAAGCAATTTGCGCGGCACTGAGGTGCATACTGGACACTCTGTCCTCAGTGCAGCTTAATAACACTCAGCCTGATAAAATCACAGAGCTCCCTGTCTGGTCTTTGTCCATGTCACTGAAGAAGCTAGCCCCTCTGCGCTTGTCTGTGTGACAGTTGCAATGGCTGAGCCTCTCCTGTGAATGGAAACATGGCTATTCACGCCCTCCCCGATATCGTTAATAAACAGGTTGAACAGTATGGGGCCTAGCACAGAACCCTGGGACACGCCACTCATGAATCTAGACCAATCTGACAAAGAGCCATTTATCAATACTCTCTGGACACTCTCTCTAATACATTTTGTTTGTATCGGACTTAGTCATCCCAATAACTAAGCTCTGTATGAGTGAAACATGTTGGAGATAGATGCTCCAGCTGGTAATGCCTGGCTCCTGAAAGTGAATAAACATTACCATGAATCATTTTGGCGTGCATTCTCCATTTTTTGGACTGGTTTGCAAATTGGTTGCTGTGAGCAAAGGGTTGAGTGGCACCTGTGGTGGGAGTATCCGAATTACGGGGACCTACGGTGTATTTTTTGATTCTTGTAGAGAGTAAAAGCATTTTCCTCTAATTTTTTCAAGCAAAGATTTAAGAGTAGAGTTATTGCATAATTCAGTAGCTGATACAGCAAACTAGCGAATGCAAATAACAACAGCTCATTTAGTATAATATGTATAATACAACACTTTAAAGTGTATGTAAATCCCAACAATTAACATTTCTAATTTGCTTCCCTTTTGGTCCATTAAATATACCATTGAATGTGTTTTGTTATATTTGTTCAAAAAGTACAAAAAATATTCCTGTTGATAATGTTAGCTGCCCTGTGCCCTCTGCACACTTCTTGTGTTTTCTCAAGAAGAGTAAATAGCCCTCCAAGTTCTTATCTTAGGACTACAGAATGATTAGCTTTTATGTTGTGGAGTAGACATGTCACCCGGCAAAAAAATATTTTTGTTTCGTTTTGTATGGATTCAGATTTTAATCTCTTTCATTTTTCAGAGTTCGGATCCGAAATTCGAGTCGGTTCGTTATGCGGATTTCAGATTAATCCGAAGTTTCTTTCCCTTGCAGGGTCCTAAGGAGCCACCCTTGTGTGTGCAGTAGGACACAGCAAGGCAAGCCCTTCCCCTGCTCCCTCCTCCTCCATCCCTTCTCCAAGCTAGTACATGGACAACGGCTGAAGGCTGTGCTCTCCCTCTTCTTGATCTTGTACTGGGCAAGAAGTTCAAGGCAGCAGAGCTGAGAGAGTTGGAGAAGCTGTGAAGAACATGGTGAGTTGTAAGCATTTGGGCAAAAATTAAAAGAAACACTTTGGTACACAATGTAAATTTGTTGGATCTGTAGGATTTAATACAGGTATTCCTCACTTAACGACCGAGTTCCGTTCCTACGACCAGGTCGTTAAACAAATTGGTCGTTAACTGAGGAACTCTATACAGTACTGTACTGCATTAGTACAGTACTGTATAGCATTGCAGATGTACAGTACCGAACAGTGTACTGTACATCGGGCAATGAAAATACTTACCGGGACCCGCAGTGAAGATCGGAGGACATCACTTCCGCCGGCGACACGTCGCACTGACACTGACGCGCAAGGTCGGAGGTCCATCGGCGGTCCGTCGTAAGTGCGAGTGGTTGCAAAGTAGACATGTGCACTGCCAAAAAATTAGTTTCGTTTCGTTTTAAATTCGGATTTGTGTTATTTCGTTTTTCAGGATTCGGGTGTGAAAGTCAATTCGGATTCGGAATTCGGATTCGGACGAAATTCGGTAGCGTTAGTACGAACGTTCGTTTCGTTTTCTGTTCTTATTCGTTTCTTATTCGTTTCGTTCGTTTGCAGCAAAAGTGACATTTGAGGGGGAAAAAATATTTTTCTCCTTCTCTAATGTCACTTTGCTCCAACGAACGAAACGAAAAAGAAACGAATAAGAAACGAATAAGAACAGAAAACGAAACGAACGTTCGTACGAACGCTACCGAATTTCGGAAATGGAAATTCGGATTCGTTTGCATTTGTTATGTCTGTAATTCGGAATTCGGATGCATCCGAATGTCCGAATTTCCGAAAATTCGTCCGAATTTCGATTCGGAACGAAACGAATCGCACATGTCTATTGCAAAGCAGATAAGCCGATAACCGAGGAATGCCTGTACTAATACTAAATAGAACAAACCTACATATGAGCTTACTATTCAACTATTGTTTGGCAAAGATCAATACTGTAATTACCAATTAACCACTTTGAAAGCTCTTTTCCCATAATAACAGCTTGACACCCACAATAAAAATAATAAAACACAAAATATTAATTATTCTTATAATTATATAATTATTATTTTAATTATTTATTGTGCCAATAAAGCTGAAAAACATAGCATGTAGAAATATGCTCAGAAAACACACTAACGAGATTCTC